TCTTCCCTGTGAGGGTGGTGAGGCCCACGTGTCCCAGGGAAGGTGCGGGTGGAGTTTTGAGCCGCCTGGTGTAGCGGGAGGCATCCCTGCTGATGCAGGGGGGTTGGGACTAGATGATCTTTAGCGCTTAAAGAAAGTAACAACACTAAGCAGGAGCAAAACGAAATCAGAAGTTAGGCCACTAGAGGTGCTTCATTAAGCCTCAGCGGAGAAGCGAAGCCAGGACAGCTCTCCCGTCTGGCAGCGCGCGGGGAGGGCACTTACCTTCCTTCTGGCTGCCCGCAGCGCTCTGCTGCTGCAACAAGCTCTGGCTGTACAGGGTGGGCAGCGCGGCCGCCGCGTACTGCTGGATCCCTGAGTAGGCCTGGGTGAGCGCGTCCATCGTGCCGGCCGTACCGTTCGTCAGGCCTGTTGCGCCGAGTCCTCCGTTCAGGGCCGCCATACCTGAGAGCATTTGAGCAACTTTACAAAAAACCCAACAATAGAGAAAAGAAATTGCACTTGTTCATTAGTGCTTTCCGAAAGTTGTTGGTATTATATGACACTGACAATGACGGCAGGGCATGCAGCTCGGCGCTTTCACCAAATGGGACTGGAAACAAAGAAACACGACTTTTGGCGCCAGGATCACTTCAGCACAAGGGTTGCACAGTCAAACGGACTCGCATGCAGCCTGCTACTGGCAAGTACTACAGCTCGGTGCTCCTGAAAACCTCTCTGCCCTCACTCCTCCACATTCGTGCTTCTGCCAGAGCTTCTGAAGCCTGTAGAGTGGGACCCATTTGACCTGGCCGCTGGGAAGAAGCAGACTGTGAGGAAAACAACCCATTCTGACTGTGGTCTTTATCAAGAGGACATGACCACACCATATGAGGAGTGCTTTGCTTATACAGTTAGCAGAGAACCCTGATGAAGAGCATTTTGAAATAACCCTCTGTACAATCATGGGCTTCATCTCTCAGGTTTGCAGTAGAAAGGACGACTGCAACGCCCTGTGCTTCCACCCTCCTCCAGTTAACTCCATTTACTCCAGAAAAGGCGAACAGCAGCACGTCTGGAGTGACTAAAAGTGCTTCATCCAGACCATGCATCTTTCACAAAGAAACAAAAGCATTTGGTTCTAGCAGTGCTTTACTTCTCACTGGAAGAAGAGTTGCATAGATTGTTTTTTTGTTTGCGGTGGTTTTTTTTTTGTTTGTTTTTTTCTTTTCCTTAAAGTGATTCCATATCCCGATAAATATTAGATTAATTTAACCAGGATGACGGCCAGCAAGGAAATTTCAGACTGGATTGCTAGGTGTGCAGGAAATGCCATCCCTCATCCGCGCAAATGGTCTGGTCTGCAAAAGAAGTTTCACTCCTATGACTTGATGGTGGACAAATTCTTGGGCTAGAGCATCTCTCCCTTGCTTCTACTCATCATTATGGCTCCTAAATAAGCCATGGTGAAGCTACCAGTGTGAGCAGTTATCAGAAATTTCAGAAAAACTGAATTTATCTTGTTAGAGCTACAGTCTCTTTAGCAGTCAAAGGGGTGGCAGAGCTCAGAGACCTGCTCATCGCCCACACCTCTTACTTGTGCCAACTGCAGGAGTAGCACTGGTCAGGACTGAGAGTTAAACCACATTTTCTGCACAAGTAGCTATCTCGTGCTCTCTAGTTTTTAGGTGAGCTGCTCACAAATGATGTAAAAGGGCTTAAATAGGCCTCTCAAAGTACAGTAGATCAGTCACCAGAAAAATGGGGCACCAGAACCACCAGAAATAATTTCTTACACATTGACTGTGAAGTGTTTTGGTTCGCAAAACGGTAGGTGAAGATGTGATTAGTGGAGCTGTATTAAGATCCAAAAAGCAAGCAATACTGAGGAGAAATAGTAAGGGGTTATATGCATATTGGCGAAAAGTGAGGAAATTAAGCACAGGACACTTCATACTGAATTAACAATGAATTCTATTAGACTGGGAACCAATCTTCAAGGCAAGTGGCATAAGCCTTATCACATGAGTAATTCAGAGATAGAAAAAAATACAGCAGGGAATTATCCTGCATTGACAGAGGAGGAGAAAGATGCTGACCTACTAGTTTTCTTCCACTTCTTATGTAGATTCAAAAAGTGTATTCCTATGAGTCTCTGATAATCAGGACAATTGCTCAAGTGGCACCTTTCTGGCTCCACCAGAGACTCTGCCAATTAAGAGAATTGTACTGCATAAATTATACCTTCTGATATTACTACAATTTGTGTGACTAAACACTTGACAGAGATGTGATATTCTTAGCCTTTCCTTAATAAAAGGTCTTGCACTTTGAAGATTTCTCTCTCCCCTCCACCCCACTTCAGAGCATCGCTGCATCCAGAGAAGAGGTACTGACTGCCACTACTGTGAACAAAAACCTGTCAGAGCACCAGCCAGCCAGGTATTTGGTGTAGAATGGTTCCTGGTATAAAACAGAAACTTCCAAACCCAGATAACTTGTGAAACATCTCTTATCTAAAAGACAGGACATTTGGAAAATGTGGATTCAGAAAATTATAACATTATTAGTGTTATTATTGTTATTATTATTATTATATCCTGAGCCTAACCTTAATCTGCTCTGATATCTTTGTACTTATGTTTGTGTCATTTCTTTCATGTGTGTTAAAGCACTGGTTAAAGTAAAAGCTCCTGATAAAACAGCTTGTATCTCTCCTTTTATTACAGTGTTGAAATTACTTGGAAATAGAGGAAGCATTAGGAAAACATGTTATCTTTTCTTGAGTCATCAGCCTATTAGATAAACATGCTTTGTGTTGCAGTGGGAAGCATCCTCCCCCTTCTTTCACCTAAAATCAATATCCCCTTCCCACCAAATGATTTCAGATTAGCAAACATCCAAACAGTCCCAGCTCACTGTGCTGCTTCTGGGCAGGGCACAGCTGCTGCTACTGCAGCACATGTATCTGAATACTCTTCCCTCCTGAGCAAAACAGACCAGCAGAAAGCTCTCCACATTTTTTTCTATTCTCCCTTTTTACATTTTTATGAAATCTGCAAGGTCCAGCTGCACTTACACATCTGTGCCATCTCTTTATTATCTCTACCAGTGCACCTCAGTCTGCTATTGAACTTTGGTCTCTTCCTCACTTTTGTGAAATAACCTTATAGAGTCTTTCATCTCCAGCCTTCTACTTTTTTGAGTTATTCTACATTATACAGAAGTGACAATGCTTGGCAAGCCCAAAGGTCTCTTAAAGTGCTTTCCAAGCACCTTCAAATCTGTCATGAGTAGTTTTATCTCCATTTTACAGATGTAAATATGGGGGCAGAAAGGCTAAGTGACTGCCTTGGGTTCACGCACAAATATTGTGCCATAGCTGTCCAGAATCTTTAATTCTGTCTTAATTGTAAATAATTTCTTCCTCTCCTCTTTATATTTTTTTTCCTCATTATGCATAATTCTTTTTGCTAGTTACATAATTTAAATTTATGTGCCCAAAGGAGACGGTTTAATGTGCTTGTCATTTAATGTTTTAGATGCTTCGAGCACGAAGGAGGGAAGACTGGGTGAACCCCCACATGTACATACAGCTGTTGCCAAACCCTCAAAGACAGTTAAACTTACCATACTCCACTTTCTTTAATTTTAAGGTCTCCAGACATCTTTCTAAAATGCTTGTCTCTACATTATCCACCTCCACAGCCCAGTTTCTTTTTCATGGACCCGGAGAGGATCCAGAAAACAGCAGAAAACAGATAAAAGTCTATTGAGTTCAGCTTGGAAGACATTCTCCCTGAGATTCTCATATACAGAGCAGGACATTGCTTCAACAGAAGAGCACCTCCTCCAACACCTCTGTGTACATCAATGCCCAACCCCGGTGTCACTTTCTAATTAATTTTTGGGTTAATCTGTGGCTGGCTTGTGCTTTGGATCACTCTTTGCAATTCCCCAGTGAAAAGCATGGAACTCAATTCCAAGTTCACTGTACAGTTACTTTGGAACCATGACCAAATGATGTTTGAATGTTTTTACTGGAGTGCTTGTGACCACAGCATAACGTGAAACATCAGAGTCATTGAATGGGAGGTTTCCTGAAGGCAAACTCCTAGCCAGGTTTGAGCATGAACAACTGGATCAGACATGATCACTAGGAAATGCACTGGCTCATCATTAAAATAGGCAGGGGATGTTGAATAATGCTTCGCTTTCATTAGCATCACAAACACCTGAGATTAATAAACAGTGTCACCCTTTTGACAGAAACAGTGCCACAACATTGTGTTATGTTGTAGGGAAGCAGTTTCCCTTTTTTAGATGTCTCTCACATACGTATACACAAAGACAGACATATGGACATACATTTTGTAAGTGCTATACACAAACAGATATTTTAGGCACATACACTCCCTGTGTCCACAAAAACATCCATGAAGAAGATTTGGGACTAAAGCCACTGTTGGTACAAGTCCGTGGAAGTAATGGTGGCTTAAAACAAGCTGAAAATTGGTACTAGGTTGTGAATACATCATTAATACTTCAAATGACACATGCAGGTAAGTTTGCACACACACCACCACAAAATACTTGGTGAGAAAATGTAAATTCTTTGCTTGTAGCCTAGCAAGAAGAGCTAAAAGGAGTGCAACAGAATGGTTCCCACACAAAGTCAAGAGCTCAGAAGTGACTCATTCTTGCTTGGTCTTGATGAAAGGGACATTATCTTGGAGTGCTTCAGTGTGCCTGGGGTCTTAGTACTTGTGGGAGGGAAGGACTGGGATGCCATACTCTGCTCTTGATATTTTTACTTCTTATAAACCAAGTAAAGCACAATGACTGTTTACTGGGAAAGGACATCTAATGATTTCTTGCTTAGGACAAGGTTGCTCTCTTGGCAAGAGAGCTCATGAGAGGAAGCAAGTTCGCTCTTCACGCATGCTATTCTCAGTGTCTTGCTTTAAGACTAATACAATAATAAGAAAGGGAACTAACATCAGCCCAATACTTACTTTTATTAAGTTGTTCTTGAGTCACATTTACTATGAGGTTGTTTGTGTGAAATACGTATGTCCTTGCCAGAAGCAAGACCTGTTTTATACGAGACCCCATGCAACCACTCAACATTGCTACATGTACATCCATTAGCCCCCTTCCTTCCCAACTCCCAACAATGACAACCAGAGATCACAGAACAAAAGGATTGAGTGAGCAGCCAAGTAACAGTGACAAAAAGGACATCATGCAGAGCATCAGAGTGAGCAAGAGATACTGAGGAGGACATCCATTCCTGGGGTACATTATGATGGGTCATGGATTGGCAATGACCAAATAAATTCCTTGCATTACAAAAGGAAATGCAAGGAGCAACAGCAGCTAAAAAAAAGGGAGGGGGAAAATGCAGCTGGGCCAATCTCTTCCATTGCAGGCAAAGGTGAAGTCACCATATCAGAAACAATAAGACAAAAGAAACCTTCTTCTTCAGGAAAATCTTGACCAAGGCTAGGAATAAGGAAGAACATTCCAACAACTACCAGCATCTACTTAGCTGGAGATGCCAGGGTTTGTTTATGATGTCATAGGATAGATGTGCATGCTCTGGTATTAGAGGTGACTGACTGCATCATTCTCTTATACTTGCCAATTAAAAGGCAAAACTTGCCTTCATTTTTAAAGTATGTTGCTCTCAAGTAAATTTGGTAGTTCCTACAGACATTTTAAAAGGACTGCTTCTGTGGGAAACACCTTTCTTATCACTACATTTCCAAGTGAGGTTTTGTACATCGGGGTGATATATACCTGTTGTCAAACTCCTGAAATGAAAAAGGAGCCTCTCCTATAACCTAGATGACCCAAATCCCTGGTGACACTTCTTTTAACTTCCATATGCCCTGCAAGAAAAGGAGCATTTGTGCAGGGACCCAAGGGACTTCACTTTGCAGAGCAAACTGTGTGAAACTAAAAGACTCCAGAACTGCATATGTATCAGGAATGGAACTAGATCAACTTGACCCCCTTTTTTTTTTTTTTGTATACAGATTAAAAAGAATCATATCATTGCTTTACATTTGATAGTTTTTGTATCATGATTATTGGGGAAGGCTGTCCACCACAGCAATAAATACTCACTGTTTACGGTACCTGCTAGTGCATTAATATTATTCAGTCCAACAGTGGCTCCAGCCAATCCTTGGAGAGTACCCAGAGAAGTCAAAGAATTCATGGCCGCACCAGCTGTGGAATTAGCAGTTGATGCAGCCACTGAAAAGAGGAAAAAAAAAAATAATGAGGCAAAATTAAGGCTGTATTTTGCTTATTTTAGTTGATTGCAAAGCAGCTTACAGTAATGCTGAGTGAAACAAGAAGGCTACTTGCAAGAAAAAGAAAATGAGACCCATAGAACAACCTTGTTCAAGATATTACTAGTGTGTTTGTTCATGGAAAGTGTTGACAAGCCTTGAACTGCAAAGACTGGATCACAAAATATAGCTTGGTCCTATTACTTGCAAACATAATACAGAAACAATGAGCATGGGGTCAGTCACTTTTCTCAGATGTTTGTCAGTCAGCCTAGCACCCCAGGCTGATCAGCTAACCAGGCTACTGAGATTTTGCCACATCTGAAAATCTATCATTGGGAAAAAAAAAAATAAAAAAAATTACTCATTGTAATTTTGTCACACAACAGCTTTTGTTCCGGGTCCCAAGGGTTCTAAGAGAAATTTTAATGATTTAATTATTAAATATTTAATCATTCTGAGACATGCCACTATGGCTCTCTTCTTGGACACTGCATGAACACAATTTAAAGCCTTGAGGTTTACAAACAGAAGAATGACCAGCCAAATACAAAATGTAACTACTATCCTTTGCATTGCAGGCTTTCAGCCCAGCCTTTGTACGTAATTAGTCATGTATATGCACCCCATAAATAACACCATATGCATCACTATATGCATCCCCAAAGGCTATGCCAGAGGGGAAGCTGAGTATAAGATGGAAGAAAGGTCCTTGCTGCTACAGTACCAAGGGAATGATGAAGGTGGATTAGATTAATCTGTTTAAACTACAAGTTTAGGAAGAGAAAGAGACTTACTCTCTTAATAGGAAAGTAATGAAGCACCTTAGAAAGAGCTACCATTTAGGGCAGGTTGGAGGAACTAGAAAGGCGTGTCTCTCTCACAGAAGGGTCCTGAATAACCACTGTAGATTAAACACTTCACTTGCAGGTAGGTAAAGTTATACCAGATGAATCACACTCATAAAAGCTATAGAAGCAATTAGGTTTTTAGCTTGTCCCCTGAGCCCTACTTTAGTGCATCAATCATAGAGATTTTCTTCCTTTTCCTTCAAAAAGCTGCATTATCTTCTGAAAAGTGAACATTTAAGGTTAGAGTTTTGTTGATTATTTACCAGTGGCACATCATGTTCATCCCATTGCTTTTTTCCTCCTATTGAACACCTAGATGCAAAATGGTTAAGAACACTTTTATCTTGATGCTCTTTTGAGCTCTCAAGCACATCAGATTACTCAGCAAACCCTTGAGGATTCGAAGTCTCTACAGCTGGCAGGATCCAGTAAGGAAAGAAGGAGGAAACTTTTCCACTCTGTGAGCAAACCTTAAAGCTCTACCCTACAAATAAACCCACCTATACAACCTTAAGAACCACCAAAGACAAGGCTTCATACTCATGAGGCCTCAAAGTACGAAAGACTGTCTTGATGTGGGTGAGGAGAGATTTCCAGACTCTGTGAGGCATTCCTTGTCTCACTTACCCAGCATCTGCAAGGTTAACTTGAATAATTTTATATGTTGCAGATAGAAGCAGCTTTGATTATTCAATCTCTCTGCACAAAGCAATAAGCAGCCAATAATGTCTTTGATTAAAAAAAAATAAATTAAAAAAACACCAACAAGTAAAAAACCCCTTTTGTCAGATAATGTGGGCACCAACAGAGAAGGGAGGAAAAAATCAAAGGGAATTAATGCCAATGAATTCCCTATGACCAACGCTGCTCCGTGTTTCTGCTCATGTTCATTAGCAGATCATTTAAATGAAGTATATAAACCTCAGATCTGAAGGATCTGATTGGTTTTGACTGGGCTGAATTCCATCCATTTCTGTTTCAGAGGATTATTACCCTTTTCTCTTGAGGAAACACATATATTTAAGAAATGAGAGAAATGGGGGCTAGGAAGCTGCCTGAAAATTACATTAAAGCTCGTGGGGGCAAATAACTCCTGTGAATGAGAGCCACACGCTTACGGATTGTCAACACATCTGTCGGAGAAGGCAAAAAACCCCAATTAAATCCTTCCCTCTTGCACAGTGTGTGTGTTTTGGTGGCTCTTATCATATTCTCACTGCTCAAACACATGCACCAGGGATGGCCAGTATGAGGCCACTATCTCTTTTCTTCTTTTATTCGTATTCATTTTCTCTGTTCCATCAAACACAGAGGAGGTGCCTCAGTGATTCTCCCATTTGAAGTTGCAATGCATATTATCTAGTTTGCCTAAATAATGGCTTGGCATATAATCAATGTAAAATACCAGTTGGAGCATTGAAGCACCTCAGAAATCAGCATTTTGTTGTTCTGGCTGCTTGTTCTCCAGCGCAGAGCTACGAAGATGATTAAGGGAGTGGAACATCTCCCTTATGAGGAAAGGCTGAGGGAGCTGGGTCTCTTTAGCTTGGAGAAAAGGAGACTGAGGGGTGACCTCATCAATGTTTACAAATATGTAAGGGGTGAGTGTCAGGGGGACGGAGTTAAGCTTTTCTCGGTGATGACCAGTGATAGGACAAGGGGTAATGGGTGCAAATTGGAGCATAGGAAGTTCAAGGTGAATATCCGAAAAAATTTTTTTACTGTGAGAGTGACAGAGCACTGGAACAGACTGCCCAGGGAGGTTGTGGAGTCTCCCTCACTGGAGACATTCAAAACCCACCTGGATGAGTTCCTGTGTGATGTACTCTAGGTGACCCTGCTTTGGCAGGGGGGTTGGACTAGATGATCTCTCGAGGTCCCTTCCAGCCCCTAAGATTCTATGATTCTATGATTCTATGATTCTTGTTCTGCTTAGTAGTGATCTGTCTCACAGCTCTGCGTGGGCAATGGTTTTTCCTCTTTGGATTATTATTTCCTTAAGGAGAAAGAAACTGAAGAAATGGTGTGGTTTCCATTATCTTAGTGAACATGGGGTGAATAGAAATTAAGGGAGCTCCTTTTATTGGAGCCCTTGTAAAGGACAGATCCAGCACCTTGCTGGATGAAGTTTCCTGAGAGACTCCACACCACTTCTCACCTTCTCTCTGACTGAGACCTGCACATATGGAATGAAGACAAAGACACTGATGAGCTAAAATACTATTATAAAGGGACCAAAAAAAAAAAAGGCCAAGACATTGAGAGGTGAGAAATTCTCACAGTATGCTGGATAAAACCAACAGCTGAAACAATGCTGTTCCTTGTTCCCAAAAAACTTCAAGGGAGTTGAAACAAAAGAAGGTCCCACAAGATGTGGGAGGAGGCTTAGGCCAGTTGAAAGTTTTTACCTTGTGTGCTCCTAGAATATGCTGAAATCCACCTAAAGACATAGACTTCTGGTGTCCTTTTTTCCCTAGTTTCTTTCCACTAAAATCTTGGAACATATACTGAACCAAAGGGGAAAAAGGAAAATCACATGCCTTGTGGTAACGGTAGATGACTGCACTACTTTAGGGGAACCTGTATAACTCTCTCGTGTCAGCAAAGCTCTTGGGCTCCACAACTGCTGAGAGTAATGGCAAAGGAAGTATAATTCACTGTCGGAATAGTGTTATTCTATATTTATGGCTTTTAGTTGTCCAGATGACAAAAACAGATTGGATACCTACCGAATTTGTAAATTGGTTTTTACCAGGTTCCCCTGCCACCAAATAAATGAGAAGAAAACATTTCTCAACTCCCTCCATTCTCCACACCAGAACATTGCTGCCCTGAATTGAATCACTTCCTAGAGCTGCTTAATAAACAGTAGGCATCTGTCTTCAGGTACTTAGACAGCTTGATGTACGGGGTTGTAGTGCCACTAGGAATTGCTCTCTCTGTGCTACCAGTGCAACAGCATTTGGTACAGCAGTGAGGAAAATAAAAACACACAAAAATGTGCAAATTACTTGGGATTCTGGTGTCACTCTGCATGGCATGTCCTCTATCCACAACAGTTGGTGTATTATTTTTCTCTGTATACTCGGAATTTTATTCTTGCCTCCTTGACACCTGTATATGTCAGGGACTCAGTACATTTCTGGAGCAGTATTAAGTGAGTTAGCTAATACTGAAGCTGCGGGAGAGATTCAGCAGACTGGAGCTTTGGTCTGATGAATGCTGGACTGAATAGACAATAGTTGGTAAAGAACAGAACTGCCTCTTACCAGCTGCACTGATCATTCCCTCACAATGTTAAGCCCTGGATAAACATCAGAACATGATAGATAAGATTTTGTCTATTCAAAGGAACTTTTCCCTCTCTAACATCATTGGAGTAAGTTGATGACTCTCTCAAAGAGGCTGTTGCTCAATCAGAGACTGTTGGCAGGAGTTACAGGGTTGAATCCTTTGGCTGCTGTTACAAGAGTTCAGACAAAATGTTCACCATATTCCCCAATGGCCTTAAAAATCTATTAAGATGTTAAAATAATATCACAACATTGGATAAAGAGTTCAGTTTAGACTTGAAGTAATAAGAACTTGTTCTGTAACCTGTAGAAAAACCTGCTCTCTTTCCTGTAGGTACACTATGTACTGGTCACCTGTTGCCTTCTCCATCCAGGCCACATACAGAGACTTTACAGAACACTTTAGCATCTTCAGCCATGAAAGGTGAGAAGGTTAAAAATGTTTATTTTACTATTAGAGACCCTACTGTTTCTTCCCCCAAATCACTCCTAGCCCCAGCTGTTCAATCTTACTGTGCTTCCTCCATCTAATTGATGAAATTTTAGTTATGAGTTTCGGCCTTTGGTTAATATATATATATTAATAGAGCTCACTTTGATAGAGAATACACATTTTCACTGGAGTGGATGTTCTACACTGTACAGAAATTTGTGTTCAACTAGCAATATTGCATTCACAGAGATTTTTGAAGCTGGAAGGAGCTGGAATTTTCAAATATTCCCCTCAACGCTTTTATTTCTACCTATAAAAGCACCTTTTAGGTCAGAGATTTTTTTTAACAGAAATCTACACTAGCAAGGAGCCATTTCCCTTTTAA